AGGAGGTGCAGTATCACAAGGGCTTACTATGACAACAGGAACATAGAAAAGATTTGAACTGTGCCCTACAAGAAAGGACAGGAAAACAAAATGTACATGTTATCAGTGTAAGCAATACTTGGGTATGGAACATGCATTTGTCATGTGTGAAGACTGCCTTGGGTGTGACAGTTGAAGCAAAGCTTATTTCTGCATTAAACTTTTGTTTGTGTTTACATTGTAGTTTACATAGGTTTTTATTTTTATGTTATCTTTTATGTTGTGTAAATAAACAACTAATGTGCAAATGTTGATGTCTATTGTAAGTACTCATTATATATTTGATATTTTATTTTATTGATGTCTTATTTCTCTGCTAAGTGCATGTTGTACAATACAGAGGAAGCTCCTGACAAAACAGAAATTCAGAGAGGTAACAAGACTGCCATATAGGAAAAGAAGGCTAAGCACATGTGCTGTCAGTGTAGGTGAAATGTGTGCATGAAACATCCAGTTGTCATGTGTGAAGACTGCCTTGGGTGTGACAATTAAAACAAAGATTATTTTTGTGGTAGAGTTCTATTGGTGTTTTCATTGTATTTCATATAGGAATTTATTTCTGGTGTTATCTTTTAGTTTTTGTAAACAAGTACACAGCTGATTTGAAAATGTTGATGTCTACTCTAAATGCACAGTATATATTCAGAATTTAATACTTTATTTTACTGATATTTTATGTCTGTTAATTGCACACTGTATAATATGTAAGAACTTCCTGACAAAGCAGCAAGACCAGTGAGATATCAAGTCTGTCCTACAAAAAGGCCAGGAAAGCAAAAGACATGTGCTGTCAGTGTAAATGATGTGTGTGTATGGAACGTGCTGTTGTCATGTATGCAAATACTTTAGGTGTGATAGCTGAAGTAAAGTTTTTTTGCAAAGTTTTAGTGGTATTTTAATTTTAGTTCATATTAGAATTTATTTGTGTTGCTTTTTTAGACTTTATACACAAAAAATCAGTTGATGTTGACAATTTTCATGCTTTTTTATACTCAATAAATATTAAAAATTTAACATTTTATTATTGTGATTTTTTTCTGTGAAGCAACTACTATTTAATATAGTGAAATTCATAACATTAAAATTAATAATTTATTAATAGAAATATTCTAATGAATAAATGTGAGACTGACAGACACATGTTTCTGCATCTTTATGAAAAAATTAATGTTATGCTCCTATTAAAGGGTTTGAGAAGTAGCAGCATAAGGTTCTCTAAATTTCTTGTAGAATTTGGAC